AGGATGCTTTTGATTATACTTACATGTTCATTATTCGCCCCTTCCATGTTTCCAGGCTGCTTTTGATTATACTTACATGTTCATTATTCGCCCCCTTCCATGTTTCCAGGCTGCATTTGATTATCCCTACATGTTCATTATTCGTCCTTTCTATGTTTCCAGGATGCTTTTGATTATAGCTACATGTTCATTATTCGCCCCTTTCTATGTTTCCAGGCTGCTTTTGATTATAGCTACATGTTCATTATTCGCCCCCTTCCATGTTTCCAGGCTGCTTTTGATTATACTTACATGTTCATTATTCGCCCCCGTCCATGTTTCCAGGATGCTTTTGATTATACTTACATGTTCATTATTCGCCCCCTCCATGTTTCCAGGCTGCTTTTGATTATACTTACATGTTCATTATTCGCCCCCTTCCATGTTTCAAGGCTGCTTTTGATTATAGCTACATGTTCATTTTTCGCCCCCTTCCATGTTTCAAGGCTGCATTTGATCATAGCTACATGTTCATTATACGCCCCCCTCCATGTTTCCAGGCTGCTTTTGATTATAATGACATGTTCATTATTTGCCCCCGTCCATTTTTCCAGGCTGCTATTGATTATACTTATATGTTCATTATTCGTCCCTGGCCATGTTTCCAGGCTGCTTTTGATTATAGCTACATGTTCATTTTTCGCCCCCGTCCATGTTTCCAGGCTGCATTTGATTATACCTACATGTTCGTTATTCGCCCCCGTCCTTGTTTCCAGGCTGCTTTTGATTATAGCTACATGTTCATTATTCGCCCCCCTCCATGTTTCCAGGCTGCGTTTGATTATAGCTACATGTTCATTTTTCGCCCCTGGTCATGTTTCCAGGCTGCATTTGATTATAGCTACATGTTCATTATTCGCCCCTGTCCATGTTTCCAGGCTGCTTTTGATTATACTTACATGTTCATTATTCGCCCCCGTCCATGTTTCCAGGCTGCTTTTAATTATACTTACATGTTCATTATTCGCCCCTGTCCATGTTTCCAGGCTGCTTTTGATTATACTTACATGTTCATTATTCGCCCCTTCCATGTTTCCAGGCTGCTTTTGATTATACTTACATGTTCATTATTCGCCCCTTCCATGTTTCCAGGCTGCATTTGATTATACTTACATGTTCATTATTCGCCCCCTTCCATGTTTCCAGGCTGCTTTGGATTATAGCTACATGTTCATTTTTCGCCCCTCGCCATGTTTCCAGGCTGCATTTGATTATACTTACATGTTCATTATTCGCCCCTTTCTATGTTTCCAGGCTGCTTTTGATTATAGCTGCATGTTCATTATTTGCCCCCGTCCATGTTTCCAGGATGCTTTTGATTATACTTACATGTTCATTATTACGCCCCTCCATGTTTCCAGGCTGCTTTTGATTATACTTACATGTTCATTATTCACCCCCGTCCATGTTTCCAGGCTGCATTTGATTATACCTACATGTTCATTATTCGCCCTTTCTATGTTTCCAGGCTGCTTTTGATTATACCTACATGTTCATTTTTGCCCCCATTCCATGTTTCCAGGCTGCTTTTGATTATACCTACATGTTCATTTTTCGCACCCTGCGTCCATGTTTCCAGGCTGCATTTGATTATACTTACATGTTCATTATTCGCCCCTTTCTATGTTTCCAGGCTGCTTTTGATTATAGCTACATGTTCATTATTCGCCCCTTGTTCATGTTTCCAGGCTGCTTTTGATTATACTTACATGTTCATTATTCGCCCCTTCCATGTTTCCAGCGCTGCTTTTGATTATACTTACATGTTCATTATTCGCCCCCTTCCATGTTTCCAGGCTGCATTTGATTATCCCTTACATGTTCATTATTCGTCCTTCCTATGTTTCCAGGATGCTTTTGATTATAGCTACATGTTCATTATTCGCCCCTTTCTATGTTTCCAGGCTGCTTTTGATTATAGCTACATGTTCATTATTCGCCCCTTCCATGTTTCCAGGCTGCTTTTGATTATACTTACATGTTCATTATTCGCCCCCGTCCATGTTTCCAGGATGCTTTTGATTATACTTACATGTTCATTATTCGCCCCCTCCATGTTTCCAGGCTGCTTTTGATTATACTTACATGTTCATTATTCGCCCCCTTCCATGTTTCAAGGCTGCTTTTGATTATAGCTACATGTTCATTTTTCGCCCCCTTCCATGTTTCAAGGCTGCATTTGATCATAGCTACATGTTCATTATACGCCCCCCTCCATGTTTCCAGGCTGCTTTTGATTATAATGACATGTTCATTATTTGCCCCCGTCCATTTTTCCAGGCTGCTATTGATTATACTTATATGTTCATTATTCGTCCCTGGCCATGTTTCCAGGCTGCTTTTGATTATAGCTACATGTTCATTTTTCGCCCCCGTCCATGTTTCCAGGCTGCATTTGATTATACCTACATGTTCGTTATTCGCCCCCGTCCTTGTTTCCAGGCTGCTTTTGATTATAGCTACATGTTCATTATTCGCCCCCCTCCATGTTTCCAGGCTGCGTTTGATTATAGCTACATGTTCATTTTTCGCCCCTGGTCATGTTTCCAGGCTGCATTTGATTATAGCTACATGTTCATTATTCGCCCCTGTCCATGTTTCCAGGCTGCTTTTGATTATACTTACATGTTCATTATTCGCCCCCGTCCATGTTTCCAGGCTGCTTTTAATTATACTTACATGTTCATTATTCGCCCCTGTCCATGTTTCCAGGCTGCTTTTGATTATACTTACATGTTCATTATTCGCCCCTTCCATGTTTCCAGGCTGCTTTTGATTATACTTACATGTTCATTATTCGCCCCTTCCATGTTTCCAGGCTGCTTTTGATTATACTTACATGTTCATTATTCGCCCCTTCCATGTTTCCAGGCTGCTTTGGATTATAGCTACATGTTCATTTTTCGCCCCTCGCCATGTTTCCAGGCTGCATTTGATTATACTTACATGTTCATTATTCGCCCCTTTCTATGTTTCCAGGCTGCTTTTGATTATAGCTGCATGTTCATTATTTGCCCCCGTCCATGTTTCCAGGATGCTTTTGCTTATACTTACATGTTCATTATTCGCCCCCCTCCATGTTTCCAGGCTGCTTTTGATTATACTTACATGTTCATTATTCGCCCCCCTCCATGTTTCCAGGCTGCGTTTGATTATAGCTACATGTTCATTTTTCGCCCCTGGTCATGTTTCCAGGCTGCATTTGATTATAGCTACATGTTCATTATTCGCCCCTGTCCATGTTTCCAGGCTGCTTTTGATTATACTTACATGTTCATTATTCGCCCCCGTCCATGTTTCCAGGCTGCTTTTAATTATACTTACATGTTCATTATTCGCCCCTGTCCATGTTTCCAGGCTGCTTTTGATTATACTTACATGTTCATTATTCGTCCCCTTCCATGTGTCCTGGCTGCTTTTGGTTATACTTACATGTTCATTATTCGCCCCTTCCATGTTTCCAGGCTGCGTTTGATTATGCGTACATGTTCATTTTTGGCCCCCGTCCACGTTTCCAGGCTGCTTTTGATTAAAATTACATGTTCATTATTCGCCCCCTTTCTATGTTTCCAGGCCGTGTGTACAGCCGTCTCCGCTTTCTCCCGAAGGAATCGACATCGCCATTCAAGTGGTGCATAAGGAACTTAAATTGCTGCCTCTAGAGCTTGGGGTAATCTTGACCCTGCCGCCAACCCTTGTTTATCATTTTATTTACAGCATGCGGCTTGATTTGACTTCCGCGTAACGTAGACCAAGAATATATCCTGTGATGAATCATTCTCATCCCCGAGCTGTGGAGATCCGGGTTATAACTTCTTGTCGTGACTGAGGCGACTAACGGGATCAGGGGGTCAGGCTCGCAGACTCGGTTGATACATATTATCGTACTCCAATCACGAAACATCGATGCTCATGATGTTGATCACTGGATTGTCTAGTCCAGCTTCGATTATTTACAGACCGCCAACATACATCTGGAATGTTGTTGAGAGCGTTAAACAACAAATAAACCAAACAAATGAAATATGTTTCCGTAGATGGCCAGTTAATATTATGAAGACAAACGTAAACACGGAGTTCCAGCATAGGGTTTTTGTCTAGTTTCATATTTGAATTCTTCTCCTGTTAAATCATGTAAAGAAAGTCGTCACTATGTGCTGCGTATCATTACTAAAGCATCATCCTGGTCAAGTGTTTTGGCTTATGAGTTTGGGCACGTTTCAGTATCAGATAAGGTGTTTACTGCAGCCTGAGCGGTTTGTTATTGTCGATAGGCAACATACCGGCTAAACTTCAGTTCTATGTCATGTCACGTCGAGAGGCAGTTGGGCAGCAAGATGGATAAACCGTTCTCTCCAAACACGCAGGTTCCATTCCCCTAATGGATACAATTTGTGATCGCCATAATATTGTGGCGTAAACCTTTACCAATTCATTTATGTCACGTCGTGTGAAATGTTATTCTATTAGTTCTGCATTTGCTATGAGAAATAGGAGAGGTTCCGATTTGTTTAGATCAGGATAATTAATTGGCACTCAGAAATGTAAACTAACATCTAGTCTTTGAAATGTACATAATTTATATAAATATACTTTTCTTAGATAATATTCGTGATGTATAATAAAGTAGCCCGGCCCCTCTAGTCTCTCCAAAGTGATTTGAATCGGATGATTAACTGATTAATACCGGTCTTAGTGAATACACGCTCCCTCCCTCCACCCTCCCCCACTCACCCCCTCACTCACCTCACTCACTCACTCACTCACTCACTCACTCACTCACTCACTCACTCACTCACTCACTCACTCACTCACTCACTCACTCACTCACTCACTCACTCACTCAATTCCGTATGACCTAAAACAACAGTGACAGAACGATGGTCGGTACTGCTGTGTATGTTATACGAAACGGAGTTACGCAATGACCGGATGTGTAATAGCTAGCTGTGAGCTTGTATAGCATTACAGCGTGTATCTCTTCAAAACACTTCCCTTTGTGACAGAGGGCATGACTGACACACTGAGTTTCACTGAACACGCTATGTAGTTAATGGACGAGAGATTTGATGTACACCCTTCATTTTGAACGGATTACACCAGAAAAGTACCCAAGTCTCACGCACGGTAAGAGAACATTGCATAGTTGTACTGAAAATACTTCCGATTATTCTAACTACAATGTACACACTAGATGCATGTATTAGAAGGAACAACCACTTGTTTGTTTGTATGTATGTTTATTGTTTAAAGCTGCACAATATCATAGTTATATGGTGGCAGTCTGTAAATGATCCAGTGATTAACAGCATGAGCATCGATCTACCCAATTGGGATACGATGACATCGAGCCAAGTCATCGAGTCTGACCACCCGATCCCTTTAGTCGCCTTGTACGACAGGCAAGATTGGGTTGCCGAAGACCAATTCTAGTCCGAATCTTCACGGGTCGTTTACACAATGCCTTTTGCTGAAGCCACTGTGGCTGAGTGGGTTAGATCGCTGATTTTGTGTGCTGGATTAGTGCCTTACTAACGCGTAGTCTCTGAATATATGGTCGATTCCAACGAAAAGTGTACACAGCATGTTTGGGTCCATATCATTTTAGCATTACTACCTTCATTTATTTCAGGATGCCCATCACATCGGCACAAGTGAGACGATTCGGGCCATATATAACATGACTATTTGTGATTAAAAATTAGGCTTATGGGAGATAAAAACAGGCCACTTTTATTCATTTTGAGTTTTATTTTACAAATGTATTGTTGAAAACATGCTGTGTGTTTAATACTAGTCAAATTGGATGAACAGAAGTTTATTAATCTGATTGCCAAATATTTCATGAATAAATCCCCTGAAATGATTTTGTCGAGGGCTTAATTCGTAATTTTGGTAATTTGCTTTCAAGGGGTATTTTCTTGCGTTACCTACGAATACAGTTTTCAATGACTCTGTCAATTTATGTAAATGCAACACAAGGTTATGTTTCGTATTACTTTTTGCAGCATTAATATTTCAAACACTTAAATACAGTGACATTACATAATATTTTTTACAGGTAATAATCTGAAAAAAAATGCTAGAAAATCAAAGTCTGATTTGGTAGAAACAATCACGTTATCTACAAATACAATAAATTATGTTGCTGTTTCCACAACTGAACACATTAGTGAATGATATCCTAAGTTCAAGCGCAAAGGGCCACAAAGTATACGTGTGCTACATCTAAACATTTTCTGTGCTGTTTTTACGAAGATATCACACAAAATAAATTTTAAGTAAAATTTTAACTCCCAAATATTACCTACAAGTACCAACAACTGATCACATGCAAATAGATTGGTGGAATGACAACACGTGACATGTGTTCCATTTGGAAGTCATCATAGATGAGACCAGACAACATATTGGGGACTAGTAAGTGTGTTTTACATTTGCAAGAATGTTATGTTAATAAACCCATGTCACAATAACATAGGATGCATATGACACCTGTTACAACTAAACAACTTTAATTTTAGTGAGGGTTTGGTAAGACATGGTGTCCCTCTGGGATTTCCCGGTTGTGGTTCACGGCATTTGTAGATAACATGTATTCGTTGAAATGTCAGTTGATCTTGGTGATAAAAGTAAAAGTTTGCATGATATCACGTGATAAACGGTAGATTCGTAGGTAACATTCCGAATTTGTAGGTAACATCAGTCAGTGTGTTTGAAGTTGTATGTCGTGTACAGGGCTGTCACCAATGCATTTGCGAATATAGGAGAATTGAGACTGTAGCAGAAGTAAGTTGCATGGGTTTAGTAAGGAAATTTGTCAACGGTATGTCTTATTCGTTGGTAACTCGTTTTTGTAGTTAAAACTTTCTGTAAATATCTATCTAATAGCAAATGTCATTGCAAAATATGGGTAATTAAAGCAGAGTTATAGTTCAGTAAGACGTATAATGTATTGATTGTTTTAGTGACATGTTATCTGTACATCATTTTATATGGTATATGGTAATAGTTTAAGCGTTTTGAACATTTTTTATGTGCTTTCGTTGGGTACAAATGTCAGTTGAAACATTTGGTAAACAAAATTTCAGATGTAATGATTTTAGTTCAATTTCTATACTTCTCATCAACAGTTTAGACTCACTAGTGTAAATATAGCCACTTACTTCAGGCGACTGTTTTAAACTAAACTTTGCTAAATATTCCATACTGTTTTAAGGTACAGTTTACACATGAACTGATGTATTTTGAAACTAATTCGTAACGTTGAAGAGATTGTTGTCATGAGTTCAATAAATGATAAAAATCAGTAAAAATAGGCGAATCCTTAACAAAACCTTACACCAAAACGCAGCTGTTCACGTGTACGATATTTGCACATGCTTTTCAGCAATATGATGCATTTTTCTCGTGCAATTCATCTGCATAAAGTTTGTATGGAGAAATCAATCTTCGATGTGAGCATTATATATATATATATACACACACAAACACACACAATACATATAGTGAGTGCTTCTAGTGAGTCTAAACTTTAGATGAGAAGTATATTTCCATCAGTTAAAATGACATTGCTACTTTCCGACATACACTGAGACAAAACAAAGAGAAAGCCTTACACTGCGTGAAAACAATCTTCATTCACATGTCCTATGCATTTAGAAAACAAATTCCAAACTGTGAGTTTGACATATATAAACATTTATGAAATACAAGGTTTTACGTGATATTTGTTACCTACAAGCACAGTTTTTTATGTGGTACTTACCACCCGTTGTCTCTCAGATGAATAAGATAGATATGTACTAATGATTTGTTTGTGAAAAAAACACTAAGAGGTGCTATTTCACTTACATCAAGCAAAGGTACCAAAATGGTTCTATTTCCGTAAAGCTTGAGGTTATAAAACATGAAAGAAACCATGATATGGCTTCAGAGTTTCGATATTCATTTACATATTGTGCATGCAGAACAACAGTAAATTTGGATGTTAGGCAACATATAACCCATCTAATCACAGGATATACAAGGTATGATGTTGGTATTTGTAGGTAATGTCGAAAATGAGCCTTTAACTTCACTGATCCACCAACTTGTCACTTTTAGATATTAGCGATGGCAACCGATTTTGATAAGAGGCAAATATGTTGACTTTACATTGGTAAAAAGAATTACAAAGTGCAAGCAATTCTATTTTGGACACCTTGTACCTATCTGTGTACACCTTTCGTTGGAATCAACTATATATCATTTTTCATTTTAAATTGAGAAGGAGCAGCAGTATATACAATAGCGGTACGTGACCAGGTCACCCCCCAAGGGCTCAATTTAGAGATTGAACCCTTGAGGAGTCCCTAATCACGTACCGCGATTGTATATACCACTTTTGAATCCCCCACCCAACTTCCTGGTCACTATGACCGCGAGCCAACACTTCCTGGTCAACCTATATTATGTTGATCTCGGCGAAACAATTTAATGTGAATCTCCTATGATTTCTTTGGTTTTCGTAATGGAGTTTTGTTGGGCTTGTGTATCCCTTGGTTTATGTACTTTTTTTCCTCGTCTTCGCTGACGGTGCTTTTACGAGACTTGGTTCGAATCTCTTGTTTCATTTTTTGATATTTTGCGAGTTCAGAGAGAACCAAACGAAATTCTTCCTCTGAGATTTTACTGTCCGTGAGTGCGGTGGAAATATGATCGGCTATTGTGTTTAACTTTGCTTCGGTTAGAATTCTACTTTCGTCTTGTTTCAATGCTTTACAGTGCAGTTTGCGACATACACCAATCCCACCAACCCTGACACTCCAGCTGTTATTTCAATGTCTAGCACTATAGGTGTGGCTACGATGGTGGACAATAACCCTACCACTACCGCACCTAATCCCATACTGGTTGCCATAAGGGTGGTATCAGCCCCATCCACGAAATTGAAAGCTCTATGGTATTTCTTACATAATGCTTTCTGTATGTCTCGATCTTGTTCTAGTTGACGTTTTATGTCGCATAACTGTCTCAAACGAAACCCGTCTACAGTTTCCAGTGTTTTTGCTACTTCTTCTACGTCTGGGTACAGCCCCATCCTGTGTTTGTGTATTATATATTATAAGATATAATGTTTTTAGTTTTTCGTTAATTTCTTATTAATGTATTTAAGACTTATAAGGTTTAGATTATCGTAGAGGAAAATAGGTAAGATTTTAATAGGTAAATCTTGGACTATACTAAACCCATGGAGGGGTGTTGAGGGGGGTGTAATTCTCAGTAAGGGTTCTGATCCCAGTTGTATGACGATATGACAACGTGCGACATGGCATCCCAATGTATTGTCAACCCAGGTAAAAGTTGTCGGCATGAACCCCCTTCAGGGGATCTGAGAAAGATTTCTATGAAGAGTGTGGTGCCTGGTTTCATATTTATATAACGCATTAACTCGTAATCGGGTAAGTCACCACTTAATTTTGAAGACTCGGGGTGAAAATAATATGTTTCTCGGGCCAAATGGTGTTTGGATAACTGTTACATAATCAGCATCCGGAATGTAAGACGTGAGAAGGGCACCGTTGTTCCTAATTTCGGTGACATACCTATTTTTGTTTGAAGAGATGTAAGGTGCGGTGAGGGTTATGTTGATAAACCATTCCAGCTCTTTAAAGTCTGCTAGCGGCACCCGCTCGTACACGTTGTCTTTCAAGTGTAGGATGTACAAGGTGTTTTCCTTACCAGGCAGATCGAATCCTAGATCACCAAGCGTGACGTTGGGATAACGACTGTTCATTGTCTCCATAAAATGTTATAAAATAGTTTCCAATTGATTTTCTGATAATTTCTCAGGTGTGCACTTCAACCCTATGAAATGTATGTTGTCGGGAAGGAGTGATATCGTGTCTTCCACGGTAACGGTGACTCCCTGCAGACTGTTGTGGGAATCGATGTTCACCCGCACGTAAACAGAGCAAACGTTGTATTGTTGTTGTTTGGTCCACCAGAGTTTGATTTCTTTCACGATCTCGACTGGTGATGATGGTTCACCGAGGTAGACTTGGATGATCAGCGTGGAATTCTCTGGTATATTTTCTAGGATGTTGGTCACGCTGTCGAATTCAGATACTATTGGCAATCCAACG